ACAAAACCTTGATAGGCAAAGAAAGACCATTAAAGATGAAACTGTCCTATTAAAACAAAGGTAGTAAAAGTGTTTTCTATGTTAATACATCCCATTAGCCGCATGTTAACATGCTTGTTTTGCTAATATGATAGGTCAGCTAGTAACCACGTAGCATTAGGCTGAAAGGGGGCATGTCGTCATCTACCTTTGCAGTGGTAGACTTACTTCAGTTGATAATTCCATACACGCCTGGGACAAGGACAACAGTCCATGAACATATCTTAATTGAGCAATACCCATAGCTTGTCAGGAACAGGCTCGCAAAAAGGGACTCGATGGTAGAACCCACGAATAACCTGTCCTCTGTGGCAAAAATCAGGTTTTATTTTCAGTCCAGGGTTCAGTACAAACCCTGGACTGGAGGCAAACAACACAGGCAGGGGTATCCAAAATAATTGTCAGTTGGCCATGCGCTATAGTCTGCCTTTTTTTGATCATCAAACCACCACACGTCTGGTTGACTGGTGAGGTCCAGATCCAATCCCTTCAATCCCTTGCACATTCTCGATACATAATGCATACTTTACTTAAACAATAACAAGAACTCAGGACAGTAAACTCAGCTGAGGTTTCAAGTCACAAAGACCTTAGCAACCTTTAAAATAAAACTCAGAAGAGGAAATGCAGGCATACAACACATAATGAACGACCTTTAGCAAAGTGCTTGAGGATTGATTTGTGGACAAAATGACATCAACAGACTTAACAACAGCATATATTTTGTTTAGTAGTGCCTCCTCGACCTTTGCCCAACCTTTGCCACAGTCTCTCACCTAATTCACCCACCTGCCTCCACCTCGAGCTTTCTTACCGCAGCCTTTGCCTCACCTCGGGGTTCTCTGCACACCCCTCCCCACCACCAGACATCTTTAATAAATTCACTTAACACTTCTTCTGTCTCTGCTTCTGGATTCGGTCAAACACCTGATAGACTCTGGTCCTCCCCTTCTAAGGGAAATTTATAATCAAATGATGCTCTAACCATCCTGAACATCAACATGAAGTATTGTTAATACCAAACAAGATGTCATAGAAGATGAAGGGAGCTGCAGTTTGATAAAATGTCAGCTAGGTCAGGTTTAAATCAGCCATGTCCCTGATATCATTAACAGACACTAGCCAGTGACTTGTTCTTGAAAGTCGAACAAGTTTACCTGTGAGGCAAGTTGTGTGCTGATTATTTAATCATCAGAACATCAGGAGAATCTCGGTACTGATAGGTTTTCAGGACACAGTGTCATATGAATTTCTGCCCAAGTTAGAAAGTGCAACTGTCACAAATGACACAAATTTGGATCCGTTGAGGTCTTGGCATTGAATTTATGTAAAATCAAAGAGCTTGAAACGTTTCACTTTTGATCCAGTTGCAACTTGAAACTGTACTGTGCAGCAGTCACCAAATAAATGATGAAAGCTTTTATTGACAAAGGAAAAATTTGCCTTTTTTTAATGCAAAAAAGAAGTCATTATATGAAATCAAATGTTACAGGAATGATGGAAATGCAAATCGTATTATTCAAGAAAAAAGTCGATTTCCTTTTTTTCTGTTTTACACAGCTTGTACGTCTAAGTGTTGTGTCCTTATGCCGTTACAGATTGCTCAGAAGGAAAAATAAACATCTGGTATAACACCTGACTCTGGCACAAATAGTATTGCTAGATTCTAACCAATATGCATCCTGACCCAGTTAGCCAAAATAAGAGATATTTCTCACAGAGAGGGACCAAACTAACCAAATCTGAATTGTGTAAGTTAGCGGTCATGAGTAGAAATCTAAATGTCCAAACACAAGAAGCAGAAATGCATGAAAGTCAGAGTAAGCCTCGACCTTAAAGCACACCTTTACTCCAAGTCCACTCAGATCTGTTTCAGAGACGTCAGTGCACCAGACATCCCTTGACCAGTCACAGCAATGCACCAGTGTGTGTCCACAGCACCTTGTGTGCACATCAGTCGATGAAGAACACTTGCACTCGGAGGTACAAATTATCTTCCAAAAGAGTAGTGCTATAATTGGGGGTGTTTATATTTCTTACAGAAAGAGGGACAACAGACGTGAGCAGGAATGTGCAGAAGCAGCACAGCGAGAGGAGCTCAGTCAGGATCATTACAGCCGTCTGAGACTCATCAGTGTATTTCACCAGCAGCTCTCTCCCATTCACAGCATGCTTTTTCTGTCAGACACAAAAATATCTGCCTTCACAACCTTCTTTGAAACATTTTTTCTTCTAATCGCCCGTTGAACATAACTTAGTTTCACTGCAATTGAGAAAGAATCTTAAGTATTGTGAAATAACCTTGATAGCAGCAGATTTACATGCCAAATGTTGACAGTCAGAAATCTTATTTTTACATGTTAACAGCTGATAATCTCATGTTCCCTCTGAAGAAATGCTCTTTGTTGTAGCACTGGTAACTAGTTAGCAAAAATCTAGTTAGCATTTCTCTCCTGTGGATGTCATTTGCTGACTGTAGTGTAATGTGATTTGGATAAATCGTTGTCCCTCATATAACAAAGGGCGAGGAAAATATTTCAACTTGACTATTACATCTAGTTTAAAACCTCTTTTAGGAGGTATTTTGAAAGTATATTTCTCCTTTTCCTCAGGTTGGGGATTAGACCTATTACAATTTTTTTGGCCAGGCATATGGAGAGCAAGATATTTGTTTTGTAAATCAAGTCTATATGGACAGATAATATATAATATTATATATGTAATATATATATATATATATTTCTGTTGGTTTATAATTTTCTAAAACCTCCAACTGACTCAAAGTTTTGCTTTCAACACCTGTTTTGGACATGCAAAAATCAATCTTTTCCCTCACACTTTTTACATATGAAGCCTCCAACTAAAATATAGACATTTTTTACATTACTCTTCTTTTAAAATGAGAAAACATGATTAAATTTCCTCTTTCACTGTTTCACATATTTTCTCATTTCTTTACATTCTTATCATTGTGAAATTCAGTGAATGTTTTACTAATATAGGGTGACACTAAATGTATTATTGGAGCGCATTAGTTAGTAACTGAATTTAGTAACAGAATTAGTTTTAGATGTGTGTGTGTGTTTACGCACATCATTAGTTAAAACTGAGTAACTTGACATGCACATAATTGTTCCGTCAGTATATTATGGTGACAGTAGCAGAAAGGGAAACTGTTTTTTCTGTCATTTTTTAAAAACATTTTTGTGTCATTGTATATAATGTGTTATAAATGAAGGTTTTTTTGAAACAGACTCCACAACGCTGTATGTTTTGCATCGGCGTATCACCAGGTTCTGGATTCTCCTCTTCCCTTGCATTAGAATAACTCTGAATGTCCCCATTTTTCAGCAGTCTATTGTTTGTTCATTCAGAAACACAACAGTCCTGAGTTCTTTTTAAGTCCTCAGTTGAAAAAAAAATGTGTCAGTGGCACATCAGTTTTGCTGTCTCACACCACATTTCTATCAACCTCATCGATAACAACAGTTCAAATGTTTCACATCATGTGAAGCAGACATGCAGATTAAATTCAACCATCTAAATAAGCATTTATATGGATAACAATCTGAACATCAAACTACATAAACCACCCCTCTGGATTGCTATGAAATTTTTCACTTAATCAGCTTTCTTGCCAATCATCAGGCTTGATTCTGATTGGTCAATATCCCTGAAGAACACTTGTTAATTATGAGTATCAGGAGCAACGCTAAATACAACCAGATCACACACGTCATATCAAATCAATCTATAGAAAGAAATCCAACACATTCATTCAAGGGGATTATTTCACCTCTTCCTGTTAACATTGTGGCAAAAACGGTAACTTCAGGAGGATTTTTCATTTTCATTCCAGCATTATTTGGAAAGCACAAACCTTTAGATTGGTAGTTAACAGCTGTAAAGTCACCAGCAGTGAAAGAAGATGAGAGACAGCAAGACAGACTGAGGGCTCACACAGCACCCATGGCGTGAGGAATGATTTTTGGATTTTTTGTAATGCATTTATTTCAAAGTTGTTTTGGTTAAACTGACTAGACTGACAGGCACACTCTTTCCATTTTTGAGGAGGTTGAAGACTTGCCTCTAGTAGGCTGACAACATTTTAGGGTTGAGTCAGATTTACTAATATGGCAAACGCTGCCAACTGGCTTCAAAACTCGACTTGAAAAACAGATGGGTGATGTCACTGACACTATATCCCGTAATTGTAACAGTAAACAGTCCATGATATAATATTTTTATTTGCATATTTATTTTTCTTTTATCTAGATTTTGCCTTAATTCATGTGCAATTTAATGTATTTTGCATGGCAACTCACTCACTACACAATGCCCTTTTGCATAAGTGGTCCATGTAAACACAGCTGTTGTAATCATAAAAAAAGGGATGAAATGCTGGACATTCCCCTGATACTTTCAGTGACATGACCAATTTTGAGTTTTATAGAGGTTTCTAGAAAATCAAGTTAAATCTGAGGAACGCAACTTCAGAAAAACAACTGCAACAAGTATTATTTTAAAAGTTTTCAAATGAAAAAGCAACAAAAAAGTTTAGCCATCTTCTGTCTAAACTCATGAATGTGCTCCGCCTCTTTAACTTCCTTCTCCTCAGGTTTTCAGTCAAATGAACAGGCAGAGTGTGCAGGCATGTATGCACACACATTAAATTATTTCACTGACCAAATGAAATATTTGCAAGGGATTATTACAAGCCTGCAAAATTTAAGAGAATTTAAATGAAGATAACAAAATTAGCTTTCTAAGTTCAATAGGGTGTCTCGCTTTGGTAACACAAACTGATAAGTAGATAAAAAGTTTGCCATAAAGAACCAGTCGTAACACACAGACACACACACAAACTTCACTCTCTCTTTCCGGTCAAGTCATGCACACCTGATCGTGGTCTTCATCAGCAGTTGAGACAAAATCGAGTTTAATGCACACACAAGCCAGAGGATATTTTAACCTGTGTTTAATCTCAGATTTTCAAAAAAGGAATTTTTTACAATCCTTCTAACAGTGACTCTTGTACAACAACATAAATACTGTGCTGGAAAAAAACAAATTTCCAAAAAATTAAGCAGTTTTTTTCCCCTCCGCAGTCTCTTTCTGTAAACATTGAAAAATGCAAATCAAGTCTCCTCAGTTCCCGACAAGACAACAACATCAAAATAACAACAACTGTTCCTTCTGTAAGGCTTGGCTGCCTCACTATGCAAATAGTCTCTAATGGGCTCAGAGAGAAATTATTATTTTTTTCCATTACCTTCTCTTTACTAATCCATTTAATGTCCGAAGGGATCAACAGTGCTCAGTTTAAGATCCAAGGGGGAGGAGCAGAGGTTGAGGGACAGGGGGATTCATGGGTTCATCTATCAGAAGAGGCTGGTCAGCGTGGTCTGTGAGGGGCTCCGGCACTCGTGGACGTCTAAGCCGCCGGGCACTGAGGTGAGCACGGAGGTGACAGTGGGCATGGTGGGGTTAGTCAAGTCTGTCAGGGTGGTGGGGGTGCTGGAAGGGCTCATGGAGGCGTTGGAGATCTCAGATGCTGGGCCCGACGGCGTCCCGCCCTGCAGCGTGGAGCCGTCAGAAGCCTTGTCCACCCCCGTGCTCTCCTGCCGTAGAAGGTTCCTTCTGAACTTAGCCCGGGCGTTTTGGAACCAGACCTGCAGACAAATAATAAATCGATAAGTCAGGATATGTGTTCATTAGTTGACAACATAAACTTAAATTCAAGTTGCGTATGAAAATCATTCCTCTTTTTGTGTTTTAACTATTGGATTTTACAAGTGCCCTGAAGCCTACTTGTTCTATACCCTGGTTTAGGGGGTGGGGGGTCTTTGCTGCTGCTCTCCCTGCCTTGGCTTTTATAGAGGGGAGGTGTGCTCTCCCCACCTCAGACTTTGGTATCCCAAATGCAGTCATGGAAGTGCAGGAACCTCTCAGACCAGGGCCATATTGCCAAAAATAACACATGAATTATTCTTTTTGACAAAAGTGGTCCAGACTGAAATATGAATACAGACTCGCACAAGATGCTATAAGTGGGGTGAACTCTTAGTACGTGGCCACCTAAATTTGGGAACGGTATACGCAATATCAGTACAGTTATGTGCAAAAACGTATGCATACATTTTTGTAATGTTTTGTTTCCTTTTATCGCTCTTGTACACCATTTTTGTATCACTGTAACAGAGTCTTTGCCAACACTAGAGCAGCCTTAAAAATCTAAATCTGAAGTTAGAGTCCTTTAAGGATGTAAAAATCAGCACAGGTTTCTTTTTATTTTATTTTTTTTTAACTTCCATAATCTTGTGTTAACTTATGTTTCTGAATCCTCATGATATTTTATCTCTAAATCCCATAAAATAGACCAATTCATGTGAAAATGTGAATGAGTTAGAGATTAAAAAAGCAGACTTTGAAACAGAACTAGACTGTTACGTTTCTGTAAGGGACATTGAGATGTCATGACAAAGTATCTTATGATGAAGGTGGTAATCTGTCCAACATTCAAATAGTTTGCATGGAAAAATAGTTTCTATCTTTTCACAATAGATCAAACAAACTGTTGAAGAACGATGCATTGAATTATCATTTCTCATCTAGGATGTGCACAAGCTTTTTCATAGTATATCAAATAGGATGTTCATAGCAGCTAAAGGGACAAGCATATAAGCATTCATATGAAAGCATTTATTCAGGTTTACTTCTTTCAAATTGTAAACTAAAATATCATGCCACATAGATTTTTTTTTCTCTGATAATCTTTGATGTTTTGGTCAAGTTAAAGATGGTTAACTAGTCTACACTGTTGATGGGTGAATTAAAGAAATTCTGAAGCAGCATCTCTTTCTAGAAACAGCAGCTCTGCCTCTCCAGATTACTAGCAAAGTTATTCACAGGAATTTTGCTGTTGAGGAGATCTTTTTTTTTTCTACTGTGCAGTAGAAAGAAATAAAGATGACGCATTTATGAAGGAAAAAACATGCTTTTAGATGACTGACAAAGCTCACTTTCATTCTCCTATAATGTTCCTCCTATAAGAATTCCCTTTTTTGATTTCATTGGAGAGTAAACAGAATTTAAGAAGATCCCACCTCTTTGTAACCTCATCAGTCTTTACTGCAAACTGATACAGTGCACTTAAAACCTGATCAACCCACAACATTAGTGCAGCTGACTCTAATAAAAGCAGAATGATGATTGCCTACTGCGTCTCAAGTGTCTTTTAAGTCTGTAAATGTGATACTGTGGTTATAAGGGGAAGCTCTTATAGCTGCCTGAGAGGTGAAGTAAACACGAGTCCCAGGTTCTATCCAAAAAAATCCATCATCACAGTCTTCAGTTCTCTGTGAAACAACATGTTCACTGTCACTTTGTCATGTCTGTGAGGATCTCATGGTCATATAAACCATCGATAGACAGATGTAAGACGTTCATATTGAAATTTACTTAAAATACCATAAAAAACAGTATAGCTCTGAACGTGTCTTTCCTTTGAGTTCAAAGAGAAAAAAAATGGAAATATTTATGACAGTATATTTTTTAACACACCAACTTTCAAAAGCAGAAAAAATAGCAATTACAAAAACTGTTTTCAAACCACTAAGTATGGGTAATTTTCAGCAGAAAGTTCATAAATCTACCTGCTTTAAATGAGACCTAGATAAAACCATTGTAATGTAATCTATCTTTATGTTCTCCTGACAGCAGTCTTTAATAGGAGCAATCCCCAAAAGTGGTTCCTACACTCAACATGAGCACATTTTTACCAGGTCCAGGGTTTGTCATTTTCAGCAAAAGCTCACATTATTATCACATATTTGAAAGAGGTCACCAATACGGTGAAATCCACTGAGACTCATCACTGGTCCCCCTTCAAATCTACAGAACTTGGTAATGTCAGTATTCAATGTTTACAATAACAAACTATGGTTAGCAAACTTTCCACTATTATCAAAGCAGCAGAGAGACAGGAAGTATTTCAAAAACATACATAAATGTTGAATCTCAAGACTCTTTAAAGTTAGAGATGAAAAGGAATATCATTTTTGACTGTGTTTGGTTAGAGACTTAAGTGGTCATGATGAGTTCGAGCGATGTGGTTGTATGTTTTTTTTAACTATGTTTTTAAAAACGTATATGTTTCCCTCCTGAACTCCTCATATCTCTAAAGTATTTGTTTCCATTTTGTTTTCTATTCCCCTGTAAAAACTGAAAGTCCACCGTTGGTTAAGCTGTCACAATATCAAATATTCACCTCACTATTATTGTGGCCTGAAAATATCACAACAAGAATATTATAGTGATAACTTAAGAATATAACAGTATGAACTGAGGAAAGACAAGGCAAGGGTAGAGCAACATATGACTCCTTAATTTCACAGACAACGGCAACTACCTTACATGTTATTATTCGGTCATGGTGTTATCTTATGTTTAATTTTAGCATGATATCAATGTTTCTTTGTTTTTCCAAGATGGCCAATACCTCTATATTGTTACAGCCTTAGAGAGGATCATACTCAAACTAAAATCAGAGCGAATAATGAACTTATAATTGTGAAGTCATCCCAGAAGGAATGTGACTATTGCCCCTGAAGGCTAAAATCCCTTTAAAAAATAGGTTAAGAGCTTTTAATAACAGGTGTTCTGAGACATGTCTGAAAAATATATGTAGCTGTGCACATCAGAACAAAGTTTGGTTTCTTTGAGGATCAGTGTTCACATGAATTGAAACATACTGTAAAGAGCAAGACATACAAACTGGGGCTCATATTACTTGATGTAATAATTCAGAGTTTGTTCATATTTGACCCATATTAGGACCTTCTTTGCTGTTAGTTTAAACTTTGATCACAAACCGGAAACACAAATGTTCATTTAGCTGAAACCTGTCTATGTTTTACCAAGTCTATGTGTCATGTATCTGTATATTTATATGTATAAAGTAACTGGCAATTGAACCAATTTAATCGTCACACAAAATCACAATCTTTCTGCAGCCTGAAGCAGGACATTTCTGGGTCTTAACAAAAACCAAACATTAACTTCATCTGCAAATTTGCAACAAGAATCATGACTGGATCACTGTCAAAGCACTAATCTAAAAAAACAAAACAAAAATAAAATACTTATTCCTTTGCCTGTCATGATGGCCCTCATTATCCTCACGTTTACCATCGCTCTGCCCCTGGTTTACTGTTAGTTAATGGCACACACCAGCTTTTCTTTCTGTCTGTTTAAAGTTGTTTTGCACATGCATAGATTGGAGTCAAGGATGAATAAGGACTTAAAGCTTTGATGCTCCTTTGCTGTGTACAGAAGCCTTTCCTCCTTATAGCTAATCAAAGAAAGAAATGCTGTGGTTGCCATGGAAACTTTAATATTAATTTGATGCTTGCACAAAAAAATAGAGATTCCTATTTTTGTTGATATTGTGAAAAGATTACACTGGATGTGTCTAAAGTCTACAAGTGGGTTAAAGCTTAGTCCTGACTTAATTTTCAGATTTGACTTCCACTTGATTCAAAGATTTCTAAAATATTTTTCCTAAAATCACAAAAATTCATTCACTAAAGCCTGAGTCAGGCAGCGTCATCCTCCTCAGCGCCCCTGATATTGACTTACTGATTGATACAACACATCTAAATCTGAATTTCTCAAACTTGATCTTTGCTCGTCGTCTCAGTGATAAAAAAGCAGGATGTGAGATGTGGTGAGAGAGGCGGCGGTCTGTGCCGAGCTGAGTGTTGGAGCGTGTTAGCGATGGAATCATGACGGAGCCATGGGAAACGGGCGCTTCAACTGGAATAACAGGCATCCAACGCATCAAAGCAAAACGACTGCTTTGTTTTCTGCAAGCATTAATTAAAGCAGCGGGATGATTTCTCCTGTTTTTTTTTCCTCCTTCTCAGAAAAATTTTGATTCAGAAACTTTTTTGTCTCATTTTTCTTCCTCTCAGTCCCCTAGATAATTTGCTGTCGTCTTTGGTGGGAATCAAACGCTCCGCTGTGCAATTTCTTCCCTGGCATATAACTACAGAGCTGTTTTTCAGTCTTCAGTCTTTAAATGAGACACATTACTTTTGCTTGTTTATGGGTTTGTCTCGTTTCCAGGTACTTTTTCACCCTAATGTAAACAAAAATATTCACTTTTAAGTGTTAGAGGAAGTTAGAAACAACAATCCTCAAAAATGTGGCTTTTTTAAAATCAATTTCTCACATTTTGATCGTGTTTTTACTTAAATGTGAGTAAGAATAAGGATAGAAACAAAAGCAGGACAACTTTTCTTTCTGCTTTTGTTTCCAGATAATCTTCCAAGAATTTCCCTCTGAAGAAAAAACGCTCTGTGTTAAAATAAAGCAGCAGATTTGGCTCCTTTCGGGAAAACCTCACTTCATATATCAATACTTGGACTGAGGCTGATTTGCATTGGAAACAAGTGAAATACTTTCACCCCTGCTGGCGTTTGTCAGTGTGTGTCATCTGAAGCCTAAAGGCCGCGCTGTGGTTACCTGTAGGACACGTTTAGTGAGGCCGGTCTTCTGGGCGAGCTGCTTGAGGTCCTTGGCGTCGGGGTTGTGGTTGATGGCGAAGTAGGACTTCATGGTTCTGAGCTGGTGGTGCTTGAAGGACGTCCGCATACGCTTGGTTTTCTGACTGGAGCTGTACTGGGAGTCCCGGTCCATGGACTCGCCGTCGTTTTCGTTGCAGCTCAGAGCTGCTGGCCGACAGAGAAGAGGAAGAGATGGAGTTAGACAAAGGAAAGACTCATGGAAATCAGTTTGATTTTACGTCTAATAGGCTGCCTTTGTTTGGAGTTTTACTTTACTTTTATAGGTCCTTGAATTCTCATGATCCCTGACATTGAAGAGCAAGAAGCAGCACGAAAGGCATCCTACTAAAACCCACTTAAGAGACGTATTTGTAATCAACTTGAGGAAAATATTTCACTAAGAACTCTGCTTGTCACAAAACCAAAAGTGAGGCCTGCATAGAGAGCAAAATCCCAGCTTATGTAGAGAAGAAAGAAAGAAAGAAAGAAAGAAAGAAAGAAAGAAAGAAAACTTTAAAGGTGACTGAAGGTTTTTTTTGTAGCTTCATACACTCAGTCTGATCTGATCTGAGGTGATACTGCGACCTGACAGCTGTTTCTTCCAGCTGCAGATCATCCTCCTCTCTTCCCTTCTATCTGTCCGTCCCTCTCTCTCTCTGTCTGTGTCTTTCTGTCCATCCCTGTCTGCACGTCTCTCTTATCCTGGGATAGAGGAGGTGCTAGCCTGGCTTCAATGAATACACACACACATATAAACCCACAAACACACACACACACACACACACACACACACACAAAACACATGTATTTATCTCAGCCTGCAAATTTCTTGGCAACATCTTAAGTGTTGCTGCATGCATAACAGTTCGCGTTCAATATCCGAACGCTGCAAATGATGAATATGAAGTGAGTGAAAAGCACCAGAATAACACTTCACTTAATTAGCCGATACACACCAGGCAGAACAAATGCTGCTTTCTGTCCGGAGCATATGCTGCGGCGTTTTTACAGAAAGCAGCCTGTTTTTTCCTGCTCGTCTCCTCATCCGTCTCACACAAACACACACACCACAACGTCTTATTTACATCTGAGAGCTGCAGGCTGCTCCGGGTCACCACATGTTCTCATGTGATGTTCAGGTGAAGCACCGGTGCTGTTTCAGAGTGGGAACAGAAGAGGGCGCACTGCCTCTTCACTCTCTCCTTCAGACTCATTCTGCCTCTGAGTCTTTTTCTACCCCCCTTTATTTACCCACAATGGGCATTTTTTACATGAGGTTAGTTAAGTCCTGAGTGAAATCAAGCTTTCTTGTACTTTTGTGATCGTGTTGTGCGTCCTAGAATGTGTATTTTTAGGCTGCACTGTGAAGTGGGATCAGATCAAGCAGCTTCCCTTTTAAAACAATGAAGTTCAGGTTTTTTTAAGTGAAGCAACCAAGAAATAAAAGTAATTTATACTTTTTAAAGAGAAGAATCTGAATCTTACGGAAAAGAAAAAGTTTATATGCACGTTTTAAAAAGTTAGGAGTGTTATTCCACTTGCTGCGACTCCTTAAAACAGTTAAAAAGTTTAGAAAATGAGAGTAAACGAAAGTAAAAGAATCTCTGTTTGCTGCTGTTTCTATGACCAGTTTTGTATTCTTACATAATACTTCTTGTTCTCTTTTTTTTACGACAACAATCAGACGGTTAATTAACTGTCAGAGCATTAAAAAACAGAAAGCTGTTCTGTAAGAGACTTCTTGTATTCCCCTGCTCTCTCTTCCAGTGAATAACTCATCAAATCACATTGATCTGTGGTACACACCCCATTTGGCCTCAGTCCCATTGCAGAAAGTCTCTAGCAAGTGTGTGTGAATGTGTGTGTGTGTAGTGTGTGTGGTTGGATGGGGGTGTGAGGTGGGGTGTTAGGGTCTGTAGATGTCTATGGAGCCTGACAAGTGGAAAAGGGTGAAAGCAAAAGCCGGAACATCAAAAAAACTTTTCTTTTTTATCCCCCAAAGAGGACATGGGAGAGGAAAAAGTGTTTCTTAAGAGAAAAACCAAGGTTAACTTCAGCGAAATATGATCAAAACTACAATTACATACAATTATTTTTAAAAATATGATGATAAAATCTTAATCGTAAGCAAGACTGAGGAGTGGTTAGACTGCTGAACACTTTTTTTTATGCAACAATAGATAAAATGTGTTTACAGTCTGTTGTTTGGGGCCTGAATTCACAGACTGGTCTCCCACTGATAAGTTGTTTACAGTTTTTAGTTTAATTCCTAAGTTGGAAAGTTAGTTTGATCGCCCTCTCTTAACACACAACACAGCATTAAGCATGAGCATGTTTATACTTTTGCTACTTCATATGAACTCAAGCGTTAAAGAACCTCTCCAGAATATTTTCATGTGTTGTGAACAAACTAAAAAAAAGCAACAACAGAACATTAATCAGCAAAAGTAACAAAATAAGATTAGCATTGTGAAAATTTGAAATAGTAAAGCAGTGTCAAGTTGTTTATCTGAATTTAAAAACGCAAAATGCAAAATTTCACGAAGTCTTGCGTAAAAGTGGCGACTTTGTAATTTGGTCCAGTCGTTATTCTAAGTGACTTTCAACTCCTTTAGAAAATATCAGAGGAAAATTTAATGCCATAGGATTTTTAAAAATCGTCTTTAGAAATATTTCCAAAAATGAAGCCTGTTATTCTTTCATAGCTCCTACTTTCCAACACAACTCAGGAGCGAGAGTTACTCAACAGAATCCACACTTTTGAAATTCATTCACTTTTTCATAAAAGCCTACTTCACCACGTGTTTAATGATTTTTTAAAAAGCTGAATCGTCAATCATGTCTGAACTAATTTCATTTTATAAAAGCACCAACTCTTCGCGCGTACTGCCAACAGTATCGTCCCTAATGATAACTTTCATGTTGTTTTAAAACGTCCTTCTTACCCGCATTATAAGCCGCCAGCTCGGCTCCCGGCCCCGGACTCTTCCTCTTCCTTGGCCGGCCTTTCTGCACCGTGCCCACGCCGTTGAAGTAGGATAGTCCGAGCGTGTTGGCCGGGCCCAGGCCTTTGTGCGGAACCACGTCCGCGTGGTTAAAGTGTGTCTGATATTCTCCCTGGATGAGAGTCTCAAAGTGCAGCCGACAGTACACCAGACTGTCCTTCATGCCGAAGTGGTCCCCGGTGGTCAGCATCTTGCTGCAGGTGGTGCAGGTGAAGCAGTTGAGGTGGTAGACCAGGTCCCGGGCCCGCATCACCATCTCCGAAGCTGAGATCCCCAGGTGGCACCGAGCGCATCTCTGCACCGAAAATCTTCTGCGGACAACACAGAAATGTCATCAGCGGCTGTACGCGGAGCCTGACATGGGCCTGGACAGCTGGTACATCTGCGGTGCGTTTTTACCCGAAACATCTAAACTTTGGCCCAACAAATGTGGACATGAGTCACCGCCAATTTACCCTGAAGTTACACAGAGAGTCAGCAGAAATGTACACAAAAGCAAAAGGACTTTACGTTTGGTTTTGTGGTTTTACAACGAAACTAAATAAGTGAATGCCGATGTTTACCAAAGTTTCTAGAGATGGGAGATGAATGTTAGAGGTGCTGGACATCTTGTTAACCCCCCTCCCCCCTCAAATGTACATGTAGCCTTCTAATGCTGTGCTTTCTGAGTTACAGCAAACAGCATAACATAAGGTTTTGTTTTCTTTCTCCAATTTCTTCGCGTAAACACTCGTTTGATCTTAAACACGTGAAAATAACGGGACTAAAACGACAAGATAAAGAAAGGAGCTTAAAAGTAAAGTTGTCAACACGATAGGAAGGTAAAATCAGGGAAGTAGCTTCGCCACAATGGTAACATAAAAGTCATTTTGCTGAATTTAACATCTATAAAATGAAATGAAGAGTTGGAACGGTGCGTAAATATTGTTCCAAAGTATCTCACTCGGCTATTTTAATGTTAAACGTATTTAGATGCGTTTTATAATAAATCTGATGCACATATTCTGCTGTTATGAATTTTCAACAGTCCATTATAAATGTTGCAAATGTTGTTCTGACTGTGATCTTGGTCAGGCCCCGTGCGCCCTCCTCCTGTACCTGTAGTAGTCCTCTTTGCAGTAGATGCTGCCGTCCTTGCTGAAGCAGGTGAGCTCAGACTCCAGGTTGAGTTTACACTCGCAGCACTTGAGGCAGCGCATGTGCCACTGTTTGTCCACGGCCAGTAAATAGTACCGGTCCGCGATCTTCCTGCCACAGCCCGCGCACAGAGCCACGCGCTCGCTGGTCACACACGGCATGGACTGGATAGGTCAACACAGAAGAGAGGACAGAGAGTCAGGACAAAGACAGGAATAAAAGTGAAAGGATTGTACAAGAGTGTAAAATATCTAAATAAACCACGAGAGGAAGGATTTTTTTAAATAATACAAACACTTAAAAATCCTAGAGAGTCACAGCACGAGCTTCTTCTCTCACACAACCAGCAGTCACACATGGGAGCATAATGGGAATATAAAATAATCCCTTTTTCCAACAGCACAGGAATATCACTGAGGAACACAATACTGCAATTAAAATACAAATCTGGGTTTAAAGATCGATTCAGCAAAAAAAAAAGATCAATGTGAACTTCATCCCATGATCGAAATAAGGCATTATAAAATATGACACGGTCACTGTTTTCGTTTTAAGAAAATCTCGGTTAAAAATCACCGATCGGTTTAGATTAATCTCAAACAATGCAAACACAAGAGTGCTTAAAGGACAAAATGGTGTTACTTTAACTTTCCTTACACAGCAAACATAAAGAAAATCACAATAATGTTTTTTTTTAAGTTGTCATGAAGCTTTAACACTTTTTTGTGTTCTGGTATTTTAATTAAAGGATTATTTTGCAGGTATCAACATGTTTATAAGATTTATATACAATTATTGTTTTAAAAACTATAAATTCAGGGTTATGAATCAGTAACTAGCCAATATGAAAATTTATAGAGGCCTTCTCAATAAACATGCATGTCTTTTTCTTACACTAAACCACATTTTGGATAAAGGTGGTGAATTAACATTTCTTCGAACACGTGTCCTTTTTCCTTTTTTGGTTTACTCTCAAACTGAAATTGCATTTTTTATGTTTTTTTCATGTATATTTTACAGTTAAAGGTTTGCACATTGCAAAAAAATTGAGTTTTCTGCTATTTGTCAAATTAGAAAAAATAATGGACGTTAAAGCTGTTTTACTCGTGCGTAAATCTATTTAATTTCAAGTTTGAAAACCTTTTTGTCTATTAGAATCTGTTTGTTTCTTTTTTTTAAAACAAAGTATATTAGAAAATTTTAGAAAATGTAGTTGTTAAAGTTAAAAAGCATTTTCATCACTTTGTTTCTGGAGTGAATGTGCAGCTTCTCTTCTTTTTTTCTCTTTTTTTAGCTTTTATTTGGATTAAAATAAGTTTGGGATGAACAATGTCTGGGCCTGTTGAAGCAAGTTTACTAACCTTTAAACACAACATTTAGAGGATGGTACTTTTATTTTTTTTAAATGTAGATTGTGTTTGAGAGAGCTAAATAATCAGAGAGCTCGGAGCAGTGAGAGTGCAGCCACTGTCACATGTTCCAGGCTGCCATGCTGCCTGCGCTAACAAGCCGATAGGGCCGAATGAGTCTCTCCTACCGTCTCTGATTCCCCCATATCGATGGCTGAGCTGATGGCTGCTGACTCGCTCTTTCCTCTTCGGTCCATTTCTTCCACCACACCGTGCACGTCGCCTCCAGGGAGGCCATGGAAGAGCATCGTCGCCGCAGAAGGGAGGATATTATAACTGTTCTCTTCGGATCTGCAAGCCAAGATGTCCATCAGAGGCTGCGCTATAATGCCACTCAGAATTTTCGCTTTTTGACGTTTTCCTTTCTTGCCGTGACAAGTGAGAAATCCAGATCAGGGAGGAAAAAATATGAGGGAAAAATTGGGCACGTGTTCTCCACACTACCTCTCATCTGCCAATGGAAACCGTCATCCGAATCTCTGCAGCTCTCATTATTAATAAGCTATGATTAATTCATAAAGATTTCGCTTCTCTCGTTGGAATCTATTTTCTCTCAGGTGTGATATTATTTTTTCAGCTATCACCGGATTGTATTTCAATTTTTTCTTTTCCATTTACGATAGACAAACATACCAACTATGGAAGCCCCGCTGCATGGGTCTCAGCATCGATGCCTCCTTCTTGCCGAAAGTAGTATTTCAGGGATTCACAGTCTGCGAGGCATTGGATATTTTCTCTCTCTTTTTTTTTTCTTCTGCAGAACAATTAGTAACTTATAACAAGACGTGCCAATGTCAAAACCAGACAGCAGCCTTTAACTGCATCACACAGTCAGAGAGAAGCAAAAAAGATATGTCCAAAATAGCTAACAGGGAGCCCGTGAGAGAGGCTTCCTCCCCTTCTCTAGGTTGCACAGTCCAAGTTGATGCTTTCAGCTGCAGATTTGTGTCGCTCAAGCTACTTTTTCTCTGCAAAGAAAAGTAGAAAAAGGAAAAAACCAACAGCCTTTTCTTGATAAAATCCCGCAGGCCGCCTGGGAGAGGCACTTTTCCTTGACAGTAGTCTGTTTAGTTAATGTTTTGTCTTATGCCAGGAGGCTGCATGCATGTGCGTAACAGCAGAAGAGGAGGAGTTGGCTTTACGTTGACTGATGATAGGCGAATGTTTGCTGGCCCCCCAAAACCGCCGTTCCTCCTTCTCAGGTCCCGGTTGGACTCTCCGCTCCTTATCAACGGGGCCCTGTTGCGTCACGACGCACCATTTATGTTCATTGGCTGTTCACCGAACTGTTTGGCTACTTTTACCGACCGGTCTGAGAGAGAGAAGCAAGCCCCTCTGTCTCCGTTACGCACGGACCACCGGACAGCGACCCCCGTTATCTGTGTGTGAGCGGAGCTGCAGTTTTTTTGAAACGTTTGATTTAAAGGAAGGAGGAGAAGAGAGAGAGTTTGAGCTTTTAGAGGTGTTGGAGAGCTTGTCTGTTTCTCTGTGCGCGCTGTGTGAGCAGGTCTGCTGGGACCTTTACTCCAGTGACGCGCACAGAGGTTTCCACACAGCAGCAGAAGCAGCAGCAGAAGCGCACTGTTGCTGCTCTCTCAGCCTCTCTCCTCTTCATGGCACCGAGAGGTTCTGCTCAGGACTGAAGAGCACAGAATCTCCAAGAGCAGCTAGAAAAAAAACAAAAGATTGTCATTATCATTGTTATGTTTTAACTTGCTTAATTTACCCACCATGGGAGCATTTGCGAGAAACAATAAAACTGTCAAAAAAAAAAGAAAGAAAAAGAAAAAGGCTTCTCTGAAACTGAGTGTTAATTTAGCTTCTCATTGGCTGTATTCATTGGATTATTTATGGCACCTCACACTGGCCTTTAGAGCATGAAGTAGGTGTGAATTGAGCTAGTTGTATCTCTTCACTAATTCATTCTATAAGCTTTTATCGAGGTAAATAATATTTGAGCGCAGAAAATCGAGGCCCTAAAGTAGATAAAGTTCTCCAAAGATACTCAATCCCGAATAGAGGGAGATAACAGGAGCTAATGAGGTTTCAAAGTAAACAGAAAATTATGTTTAAAGAGGGGGAAATGAGCTCGGACACAGTGTCAGTGGGATTATTGAGAATTTGGTGCGTAAAAATATTTTGGCACCACTTTGTGTCATTTCTATATTTTATATCACGCCTGATGTGATGCTTTATAAATGCTTTTATTTCTCAGAGAGAGAGAGGGCTTCCTATCCCTTTAAGCTCCCGCCTGTCATTTGATGTGATGTGTAACTCAGCGGCTTCACTCTTTTTTATTTCCAACGCAGACAGCGCGAGCAGTTCGCTCCACCAGCAGCAGCAGTAGCAGCAGCAGCGTGACGCGTGAACTGATCCCGGATCCGCTCACTCTAATTAGCTCTCTGCTCTTAATTGGGAGGGGGAAAGTTGACTTCGTCATCAGAGGACGTGTTTGAGAACCGGAGGAGAGGTTTGATCTCGCACACAAAAGACGGTAGTTACAGCGGTGTGGGAGAAAATTACACGTTATCACATCAGCAGCGCTTGGCTTTTGTTGTTGGAAACTCAACTCAATTCAAGCAGTTAGATATGATTAAAAACCAAATCCATCCGGTCATTTACCCCCCTGCCTTTTTGAAATCGAGAACAATATTTCAGGTGCTGAATTTTCACTCAGAATATTAAATATTCTCAATTCATGATATGCCTAATTACTTATATTATTATTTTATTTCGAGGGGGAAATACCTGTCCTGCCCCCTCCCGCTCCTAACAGCGCGCGTTTAGGCTATTGTGAAGTTTTATAGCACAAATATGATGTTAAGCTCCTAAATCCCTATGCAAATCAGCTCTTCTGTAATACCCTTAATTGAATACATGCATATTTATCATCTGCGTTTTCTAGCTGCTATAAGGCTGCCTTTATACATTAAACATAGCGGCAGCGGGCATGTCTGCGGGCGTGTACGAAATATGAAATTAGGTGGTAGTGTGAGATTACAAGGGGAAAAAAAAGGTTTGTGTGTATTTGAATCAGAGACAGGCTGGGCTCATTTCTCTTATTTCATTAACTCCCAATGAAGAGGAAGAGGAACAAGTTTACACAGATTGTAGAGAAGATTTATGCAAATATAAGCAGAGGTCTGCACAGGGCTATATGTTGGAATATCCCCAGTCATGTGTGCTCATAATATTCACAGCAGAGGAAAAAGAAAACTCACAATATGATAATTAACAACAGGATCAGGCGTTTTAAGGAGGCAGAGCTGCTGCTGCTTCAAATAGTCCAATATTTAATTCATCTATGGTACATTTATTTAAAAAGGTAAAAACTGAATTAATTACAGTTCAGCCAACACCTCCTCCCCCCTCCCTCTCTCTCTTTCACACACACACGAACACTGACACACACACACACTTTTCTTTTTAAAGAGGGGGCAGTAGACTCGCATCTTCAATGCTGGCAGATAAAAAAGATGCAAGAAAGAGAATCAAAAGGAAAACCATCAGCAACACTAGCCAGCAGTTTACTGTCAGGGGACCATTATTTCTATTTTATATTTCATACACTCAGTTTCCATACATTGGGTTATAAATAAAACACATTCACTGAGATTTTCACCATTTAAAAGTTGAGTTACTCTAAAGGAAAAAGGTTAAAACTTTAACTCCTCTGCATGCGCGACTGCACAGATTCATACAGGGGGCTTTTCAGGAAACAGGGTTATGTGAGAATAAAGGTAAATCAGAAGGGAAGCGGATTGATGTTTGAGATTATTTATCAGAGAATTAATTTTTTTTGTCTTTTGTCTGTTATTTTGGTTAAATAATTGATTTGAATGTGAGTGTGGATGCACAGGATGGCCACAGAAGGACTGACATAATTTCAGTATCATAGAAATTTATCTGTAATGAGTGTTTTGTATCTTGAGATGACTATCACTCGTGCTTTTATTATTATTATTTTTTTAAATATTATTTTATTTTATTTTTTTATTTTTGGCCAGAATAAAAATGGCTGTAGTTGGTTTCTCTTAAACCTTTTCTTTTCCTTTTTTTTTTTTTGCACTACAAAAACTTGCTTTCATTTTTGTATTGATTTCATGAATGACACAAATGACATGTTAGAAAAAGGAATTATGTTCACAATCTGTTAGTCATGGACAATTAGATTCAATGAGGCGACTGCTGCACTGGTTTAAAAAAAAAGAAAGAAAATTATTGCTAAGTAATAACATAAGAATAAGGAACACGGGTCAAACTGCGACATAAATAAATGACTCAGTTCATAGTGAAAAATAGCAGACCAGGCTGAAAATTGTGAGGCTTTCTGAGGCAGAATAAAAATCCTTTATTTAAATAAGGACACATCTTTGCATTCTGACTCAGCTGAGCCTTCATCAGGACATAATAGGCATAATAGAAAGACAAGATATGACCCTTGAAGACAGTCAAAAAAAGGACATAAAAATTAAAAACCTACCATCTTTCATCAGAAAAGACATGCTCGTATAAATGAAGGTGTGAAATGAACTCTTCAAACCTTTTCACGTAGCTTGTTTTTGTTATTTAGAAGATGTTATTTTTGTCCCTTCTGGGTTCAGCCTGTCTTGTCTGTTGACTGTCCATTAGTGACGTGTGTCATGTTTAAGCTTGACATTTACTGTATTGTATATGGTATGATGCAAAGGAGAGATTTGAAGTTTTCTAGATATATATATAAAGTGCATATGTGTGTGTGTATATACGTGAATATAGGTATGGGTGTATATATGTATATAAAAGGTCTTTGTTTCAGTATTAATGATTTGTTCCATATTCATATTAGACGTTGGAGCTTTGGTTACTTTTTGGCGACTTTAGAAATCCTAAAATTCTAGAGACATGTAAAAGATCAACGAATAGGAAGGAATGAGGGTAGATATAAATAAGCTAAATAGCTTCTACCTACTCCTTTTTTGATCTCCAAAAAAATATGGAATTTCTTGTCTATGGCTGTGTTCACACTGCAGGTCAATTCTGATTTTTAACCATATGTGACACGTATCAGATTTTTTCATGTAAGTGTGAACAGTGCAATTCTGATTTTTTCAAATCCGAACCAGGCCTCTTTTGTATGAGGATATAAATCGGACATGTATCCGATGTGACTGCAATGTGGACGCTCAGGTCGCATTCATCCGACCTATACGTCATCAATATGCGACAAACGTCACCATTGTTCGACAACACTTCACAGACGCATTCCATTCATATTAGATTTCGCATTCGTTGTTGTAATGTGAACGACCGCACAAAAAGATCGGATTTAACAAAAAATCCGAATTGTGCATCATAACCTGCAGTGTGAACATAGCCTTAAAATTGTACTGTATGTATATTTGATCAAATAAACAGTATCTCTCTCTCTCTTTTGAGCGCACTGGGTTTGATTGTTCATTGAAAGCCCATATTTGAGGTTATTGCTTGTATCTTTAGCTCTTGTGGCCATCTTGCCCCTTTTTTTTTTTAAATGAGAGATGTCTGTGTTTCACCCTGTCTTTGAAAAGCACCAGATGAAATTTGCTTTGCTTTCGCTCGCTCTTAAAGATACCAAAAGTTCGGCCTGATACGAGCCTAATGCTTCTGCTAAGCTGCTATTTAAAGACATAAAAACAACACATTAAAAGTGAACTAATCCTAAAATCCACCATGGAGCTAATAAACAGTAAAAGCAGCTAACTTCAAGACTTTGTTGAAAGCATTTTCCTGTGTGTGTATGTATGTGTGTGTGTGTGTGTGTGTGTTAGGGGGTGGTGCTGCTGCTTGTAGAGGACTAAAACGCTGATGCAGCTCCACTGATTACTCCTTGTCCTGTAATGATTTCAAAACGGGGCGTCCATCAATAACACAAATCTGCATTTCTCAGAAAAACATCACCCTCGTCAGGCTGCTGGCATCTTTTTGATCTCTCCAGTTTTTAATTGTATTCTGCATAAAGGTAGAGGGGAGGTGTGGGGTGCGTGCCTTTAATGGGATGCTGCTGTGGAAGTGGGGAGTGGGTTACACGCTCTCTGAGGAGAGCTCGGCTGTAATTAAGAAAAAGGGAACAAAGCAGAGGAGACTAAAAACACATGAAAGGCAGATCACCTAATCACTGTACGCTCACGCCGTCACACACACACATATGTAAACACACACTTTTATCGCAGGTTGAAGATTCAGGCATGAGCGGAAAGACAGAGCGGTTCAGACAGCACACCTGAGCCTCTTGTATATCACTCTCATGCATACACTGTGAACACAACTCCTCATTTAACCAGCAGATTCAGGCACGTTATGCAGTTCGATAGACAGTGAAGGTAGCCTTTGCCTCTGGCCTGTGTCTCTAAGATCATAACAGCGCCATATTTCCTAATGTGTAGAGAAAAAGTACCCCAGTTGTGAATAGATAAAAAAAGACACCTCCTCAGATGTTTTGTTTGTCTTTCAGGGAGTCGTGGGTTGTTCCCTGCCAAAGTTTAGGGTTGTATTGTTGTTATTGTTGAACAAAGTTTTTCGGCAAGATTCTGAGTACGACACTGAGGTCATGACAGTTTTAGTATCTGCCGTCCACAGCAAGTAAAAGTGAATCCTACCAACTTTTTCTCTCTTCTCAGCCTAG